GTTGATTAATTTATTAAAGTAAGCTTGAGCTAAAAGACGAAGAACAAAGTCGTGAAATCATAATGGTTGGTCGTCGTCACTAACATCACAATCATTTGTCGATCAATCATTCATAAATGAGACGTGGAAACCACTCTCTCAAAAAATCTACGAATCCTTGAGATCCCTCTTCTTTCGCCCTCTCCTTCGCGATTTCAAGTTTTTTTTTTTTTTTTAGTAATCGTTCGTCGTCGTCTTCTTCCTTCATCTCCGACACGGTATGTGTTCTGCCCTCCTCGTATGGATTCTCTTGAGTGCTTATTGCTTTCTTTGATTTTCTGCGGTTATCATCTAAATCAATCAGGAGTTCGTTCGATGAATGTAATCTGATGATTTATAGAATCAGTTCTCTTCCGATTGGTAATCCTCTCCAATTTTCTGGATTTCGGAAAAAAAAGAAGAAGATCAATTGGGAATCTAAATTCAATTCGCATGTAATAATTTGATTGGGAATCAGAAATGTGGTTTCTTACCTAATCTGAAGGGTTTTTGATCTTTAGACAATTGTTATTAGTCAAATTCAAATCAATGAATGGCTTTTTGCTTGGATACTTATCAGAACCTGTAACATCTGTTTCTCTTCTATTATCCACCCTTCCTTCGGTTGGTTAAATCGAATTCTGAGTTAGATGATGAAGTCACCATTTCACAGAATCCATGAACTGAAACCTAAAGTCAAGATAGCCATTTACGTTTTTATGATTTACATGTTTTTGTACCGTTATCAAATCTTGCTTCTGTTGATGAATCTTCTCTGCATATTATTAGCTACTCAATGACCAACTCTTTCTATCTTTGATTTCAACTTTTCTATTGCAAACATTTGTTTCTCTACTGGATTTAGTTGTTTTTTTTTTGACCTCAAGAGTTTGGTGCCTGTTCGATTCTCATAAAGTTTTGTGCTTTATCCTACTAGAGACAAGAATTCCTCATCTTGACTTATTTGTGAATCTCTCTGCATCTTGTGAGCTCTTTGTGACCTAACTTTGTATCTTTTCTTTCTACTTTAAAATCGTTGCGCTACTGGATTACAAGTATTTGATATCAAGAGTATTATGGCTCTGTTTGGTTTCGTCATGTCATGTGCTTTGTTCTACCGGAGTTGAAATTTCCTCGTTACGTTATGCATAATGTTTAGTGAGAGTGATAGTTATGACCTTATTGTGCTTTTCCCTGAATCAGACTGTTATGGAAGGCAACTTCTTCAGATTTGATGCTCAACGAGCTCATGGTGATGGATTTGTACTGACACAAAAACCAAATCTCGTCACGGTCCCAACAGAAGCTAACTCTAACGAAAGTGGCTGTTTCGATTGCAACATCTGTCTAGAAACGGCTCATGATCCGGTCGTCACTCTCTGTGGACATCTCTTCTGCTGGCCTTGCATTTACAGATGGTTAGATGTGCAAAAATCATCTTCTGTCTCCATTATTCAACAGCAAAACTGCCCTGTCTGCAAATCCAACATCTCCATCGGTTCATTAGTTCCTCTTTACGGAAGAGGCATGTCTTCTTCATCTTCTTCAGAAACTATGATAATACCCCAAAGACCCACTTCATCCCCTTTGAACAATCTGGTCAATTCGGCTTCGTCTCTCAACCCGAGCTTGCAACATCGCCATCAAGCTCAGTCGCCTCGTCAGTACGGAGGCTTCACTGCAACGGAATCATCAAGTGATCTCGCCAATGCAGTCATGATGAGTTTCTTGTACCCGGTTATTGGAATGTTCGGGGACATGGTCTACACGAGGATATTTGGAACATTTACAAACACTCTGGCTTGTCCTTACCAAAACACCCGTGGGAACAACAACCATAGGATGATGCAACTAGAGAAATCTCTGCATCGGGTATCGATCTTCTTCCTTTGCTGCATTCTCCTATGCCTCTTTTTGTTCTGAGTCGCTTGTTTATTCGTCTAGCTCTCGTTTTGTACAGTGATGTAAATAGCTTGCGTGGTCAAAGAGCTGTATAAACCATTGTTTGTAATTAAGGTCAATAACTGCAGGCCTATTGTTTCTGTTGTATTGCCTGAACTATACATACACTTATACTGTTACACAGCTCAGACTTGAAAGGAAATCATATAAACACCAACGCACGATCTAATAACATAGTAAAAGGATGTCATAAGACTCATAACTAGTGTGTAGGGAGATGAACATTTTATTTAGCTAATGGAGAGAAGGAGACAGAAATATAGAACGTCCGCGAGTCCCTGGAAAACCACTTAGACTATAATCGCGGCTGCTTCGATTACTGATATGGTAAACCAAATCCATAGGAAATATATATATATAGAGTTAGGCTTGAGTTCAGAAAACTTGCTTGCCTCTAAACAGAATTGTCTCCAATGAAAATGCAAAGATCTCTGTAAAGGTAGCGATTATTCTTCTTCCTTGGTGTTTTGCCTCGTCTTCTATCCTAAACACCATGAATCGCTTGGTTTTTTCATTTATTCTAGCTCTGTTCCACCAAAGTCTCCTTGGCTCGACATACCTGCAAAGAGGATTAAAGAAAAAAATACTTTCAGTCATGTTCTTGTTACTTAGCTAAATAAAGAACCCTAGCTAGTTACATGGGTCTTACCATTGAACAATGAAACGTTCGCCAGAAGACGACTCCGCTATATAATCACTCCGTAAACATGAAGCCAATACCTCCCACTCGTGCTGTGGTATCAAAGGGAAGTTCTCAAACTGTAACCTCATAAAGTTAGGGTTCCTATTGTTTTTGAGATCCAAGGGAACCATGTAGGCACATCCTGTAGTGAGGAGGTAGAACATTTGGTCTTTACGAGAATAAACGACATGGGGGTCGATGTCGTAGGAGAAAGGGATGTTGATGTTGGTCCACTCCGAATAACCATTAGGCATGCAGTAACTAAGTTTAGATCCAAAGAAGGTGACACTCACTATATAATCATCGTCGTGGTCCAGAAAAAGAGTGGACAAGGAAACATATATGACCTCACCGGAATGAGGAGCGATGTGATCAGGGAATGGAGGCAGAGCAATGGTTTTGTGAGATGACTCCGAGGAGGACCAAGGATTAAAGATGTCGCTGAGATGTATGGTATAATCATTAAAGCTCATAAAAACTGCCCAAGGAGGCGGCATTCTTTAGACAACACTTTTGGAACTTTCTTGCCTTTAATCTGCATGATTTTTTCACTCCTTGGATTGAATAACCAGTAACTTGTAAATACATTTTCTTCATCATTTGAAGATCCGTCTTCCTCAAAACTGTAGTCGACCAACATGTACGGGGTTTTTCGTTGATTTGAGAGGAAACGTGCCTCGTCACCTTCTTCTACCTGTGATTGAATCCACGAAATTTTCAAAAGCAGAGAGAAGCATGGAAACAGAAATGGATACGTAGAAATAAAATGTTTGGAAACGTAGAAACGTTTAAAAAAAAAAATGAAATGGATACATGTTGATAGCCAAAAGTAAAACTTACAAAGAGTTTAGCAATTAGGTTGAAAAAGAGAGACATTGTTTAACTCTACCGTTTCTTCACACACGGTAGCCCCATCGATGATTATAAGGGTATGTCTTATATATTATGTAAACTTGATGTATTTGCTTGTGACGCAACTTTGAAATCACAAGACTATGAAATACTATCTACTTGTTTAATTAAATTGTGAATTATTTACATAAAATTAAACTATGAATACTACATATATTAGGAAATTTAATATACAAAAGAATATACATACAAAGAAAAACAAAATAAGAAACAAATATATATCCATCAAAAAGCAATTAACAATATTTATACAAAAAAAGAAATTCTCTATATTATATTTATATATTACTTCAAATAGTTAATAATTTTGCAAAATCATTTTTCTAAAAATCATTTTTAGTTAATCAATATATTACTTCAATTTGTAGCATGTTTCTTCTTTCAGATGATTATATTTATCTATATGTTTTTTTGAAGTTTTATTCATTATTTTCCTTTTCCGTTGATTTTTTATGTTTGCTATTACTTGATATTTTGCTTGTACAACACGTCTATGATATAATACGTAAATGTGAGTGTGAAAATATAAACACCGAAATCACTATCTTATGGTTAGAAATCAAGTAAATTGGAAGAGTTTGGGGTTGCTTCTTGGACAACAATGTCCTCTGCTTTTCAATCTGATCGCAAAACTCTCTGTAAGCTTTTACTAGTCCCTATCAACAAAATCTAAATTGTTTTGCTCTGTTTCCTAGTGATGATTTTCTAGTTCCTTTCACACACAATCACAGGTT